TGATGCACGTGAAGGGTTTAGCACGGCGCTTCACACGCATTGCTGTCATTTTTGTCTTTATGAGGATCACTGTTGTGATTCTGATAACCTCTGGGGCGTCACGCAGGTGCACCTGCCCGAGAGATGAGAAAGCACACAGTGAACGTGTCAGAGGAACTGAGCCTCCGGGGCTCCCTGCTGGCTCAGTGGTAAGAATCCACCTGCCAAGGCAGATGCGGGTCTGATCCCTGGGTTGGGGAGATCCCCTGGAGGAGGAAATGGCATCCCACTCCAGTATTCTTTCCTGGGAAATATCATGGACAGAGGAGCCTGGCGGGCTACAGGTCTTGGGGTCGCAAAAGAATCTAGACACAACTTAGCAACTACGAGTCTGTGATGCTGAGTGCTTGGTACAGAGGAAGTGGAAGAGGGAGGCAGGGTGGGGTGGGAGGCAGGGAAGAGGTTATGGTGGAGGCTCCAACTCTCCCTACCTTCCAGAGTCGGGCCCTGCCTGTGCCGGCTGCTGGCCCCCACTCTGGCCTTACCTCTTTTTAAAAAGACACTTATTTATTTATTTGGCCACACTGGGTCGCAGTCATGGCACACTCTTTGTTGCAGCATGTGAGATCTAGGTCCCTGATTAGAGATGGAACCCACCCAGTTCCCCTGCATTGGAAGCTTGGAGTCTTAGCCACTAGACAACCAGGGAAGTCCCTGGCCTTATCTCTTGCCAGTCTGGACCCTCCAACTAGCTTTGCTGGCCCCTGGCATCTCTCTGGTCCTCTTCTCTCTATCCTCCCCTTGGCTTGCTGCTTCTCATTTGACCAGACCTTCTAAGACATTGGCCAAACCTCTTCAGCCAAGCCAGATTCCAGGTCCTGGTGTTATTACCCCCATTTGACAGGTCAGGGAACCAGGCTCAGTGAGGGTCATGATTTCTTCTGGATCCCACTGTGAGGCAGGATCAGTCTCCCAAATCCCAACCCCACATTCCTTGCCCTTCCTGGCAAGAGAGGCTGCCTGGGTGATGGATGAACATCCAGATTCTAGACCAGTGGGTCTCAACCAGGGATAGTATCACCCTCCAGAGAACATCTGGCTATGTCTGGAGACATTTTGGTTGTCACAACTGGGGGGCAGGGGTACCACTGGCTTCTAGTGGGTGGAGACCAGGAATGCTACTTACATGAACTACAACGCACAGGACAACCATCCATCCCCCTACAAAGGGCTATCCGGCCCCAGATGACAATTTGGGCCCCAAAGCTGAGAAACCCTGATCTGGATTCACATGCAGCTTTAAACCTTAGATCTATGATCCTTAGATCCATGCTCCTCTAATGTAAAATGGTGATAATAACGCCATCAAGCTCGTAGAATTGGGGGAGGATTAGACGACTGAATGCATTTAATGAGAAAAACCCGGTGGTTGACTGAAAGTGAGTTTACTCTAATAAATGGGAGTAAAGGGGTGAGAATGGGGGAATGGGGCGCCAGGGGGCTCAGCTCCTAAGAGCATCCCGTAACTAAACTCCAGGAAGTGCAAAGGAAGACCACCCTCTCCCAAACCAAACCCAAGTGGCACACTTGTGTCTAATAGGATTTTGAGTTCCCCTCCACCGCCTGCCATCAGCATTTGAGAATTCGAGTGTTAATTTAAAAGAAGAAACTGCATTACCTGTTCTCCACGCAGATCTGAGCTTCCATTTTAATTTGCCTTCATTATCTCTCTCTCTTATTAAGAATGGTAAATCTGCTTTGTGTTTTCATTATTCCATTAGCTGGAGGAAGCTCATCAGTAATGTGGGGGAGCTGCCAACATAAATAGCGCAATTTTCATGCAGGCGATACAATAATTGACTTAAATCGCTATTCTGTGGAGGCTGCAGCTCCCAATTAGAGAAAGCAGCGTGATTTAAAAACGAGTTACAATTGATTGGATTTCAGGGGAAACCAGGTTTGGAATGTGTTAATTGCATTCCACCTAAACACCAGGTCTAAATGAAGCAGCCAGAGATTTAGGGAAATAACAAAATCTTCTCTAGAAACGGCCCCAAATTGCTTAATAAGATAGGAGAGATCTGATTAAGATGGGGGGCTAATGGCCTGCTGTATTTGGGGGCGACAGGCTGAATTCTCATCTTAGAAACTACTCCGGAGAAGAAGTAACAGACCTCAATCTGTTGTATGGTCTGGCTGAGTTTCAGGGGCAAGTATCAGCGGCACCTCCTTTCCGTTAAAACCTAAGTCAGACTATGTGCTGTGCGTGCGTGCTGAGTTTCTTCAGTCGTGTCCAACTCTTTGCGACCCCGTGGACCGTAGCCTGCCAGGCTCCTCTGTCCATGAGACTCTCCAGGCAGGAATGCTGGAGTGGGTTGCCATGCCCTCCTCCAGCGGATCTTCCTGACCCAAGGATTGAACCCACATCTCTTATGTCTCCTGCGCTGGCAGGCGGGTTCTTTACCAATAGCGCCACCTGGAGAGCCCAGACTATGTGCTGCCTCTGCTCAAACCCAGCAGTGGCTTCCATCTCTTTCCGGGAAATTTTAGTCCTTACAATGGCATGCCAGAAGTTATATGATCCGTCCCACAGACCTACCGACCTCCCCAGCCGCCAGGGTGACCCAGCCCCTTCATTGCCTGGCCCCTGCCTACGCCTCTACTCCCATCTTACGTCTCACTGCTTAGGCCTCCCACTCAGTCACCGAGAGCTTCTGAAAGATCCCCGAGGGCTCATGTTCCGTGTGCCCATGCTCTCCTTGCCTCATTCACCTGGCTAATTCCCAAGCAGCCGGCAGAACTCACTTGGTTCGTGGCCTCTTCTCCTTTAATCCTTCCTCTGAAAGTTCTAGCATCCAGGGAAGCAGTTGGCTTGAAATGGTCATTGAGTCATCAACTCGAGAGAGCAGAGAGACATTTTGGCTATAAATGGATTTTCTGAAAATCTGGAGAGGGTGATTGTGGAGCACCTGTGACAGGCTGTCTCTGAACACAAGCATCTTTCCATCAGCACCTCTGCTCTGCATGGCTGGGCAGTCACCATCCTCCACCAGTCTCCAGGGAGGAACGCCCAGGTCCCATCTCCTCCAGCTGAGCTGCCACATACATGTAAACACGTGTGCCCTATGTGAGCTATGCTACCATGTACATGCAAACACACGTGTCCTATGTGAGCTGAGCTGCCATGTACATGCAAACACACGTGTCCTGTGTGAGCTGAGCTGCCATGTACATGCAAACACGTGTGTCCTGTGTGAGCTGTGCTGCCATGTACATGTAAACACATGTCCTGTGTGAGCTGAGCTGCCATGTACATGCAAACATGTGTGTCCTATGTGAGCTGTGCTGTCATGTACATGCAAATATGTGTGTCCTATGTGAGCTGTGCTGCCATGTACATGCAAACATGTGTACTGTGTGAGCTGAGCTGCCATGTACATGCAAACACATGTGTCCTATACAAGGACCTTGCTTGACTATGCATTCTTAACAGGTGTCCTGCTGTCCTCCTGGGGATAAGAATAGATTCTTGAGGGGTTGGCAACACAAAACTCTTAAAAGTTTGTGCTGAAATACACATGGCATTAATTTACCATTTCAGCCATTTTACAGCATATGGTTCAATAGTATTAAGTACATCACATTATTGTCCTACCATCATCACCATCCATCTTCCAGAACACTTTACATCTGGTGAAACTGAAACTCTATACTCATTAAACAAAAACTCCCCATTCACCCTCCCCTCAGCCCCTTCCAACCATCCTTCTACTGTCTCTATGAATCTGACAGCTCTAGGTACCTTCTATGGGCTTTCCCATAGAATCTCCTTAGGAAAAAGTAATAACTATTGACATTCTACTTTCCCAGGAGTAGAGAATCCACCTGCAATGCAGCAGTTGCAGGAGACAGGTTCGATCCCTGGGTCGGAAAGATCCCACTCCAGTATTCTTGTCTGGAGACTCTCATGCACAGAGGAGCCTGGCGGGCTACAATCTGTAGGGTCGCAAAGAGTCAGACATGGCTGAAACAACTTAGCACGCATGCACGCAGGTACCTCCTACAAGTGGAATCATAAAGCATTTGCCTCTTGTGACTGGCTTCTTTCACTTCACGTAACATCTTCCAGGTTCATCCATGTTGTAGCCTGTGTCCAAATTCTCTTTTTCTTTAAGGCTGAGTAGTATTCCATCGTAGTTCTAGACCACATTTTATTTATCTGTTCATCTGTCAATGGACACTTAAAACTCTTAACTCTTCTTATACATAAATCACAGCTGTACCTACAGCACATAAGCAGATAGAGTACACACAGTGTCCCTGTGTTATTAAATTTCCTGGGGGTGGGCATTTAGGAAAAATGCCCCTAAAGGCTCCTTTGTGCTGTGCTGTGCTTAGTCTTCAGTCCTGTCTGACTCTTTACGACCCCATGGACTGTAGCCCACCAGGCTCCTCTGTCCATGGAGATCCTCCAGGCACGAATACTGGAGTGGGTTGCCATGCCCTCCTCAAAAGCTCCTTGGGAAACAGTAAGAACTATTGACGTCTGAACCAGATAATTGTCTGATGTGGACGACTGTCCTGTGCAGTGTAGGATGTTTAGCAGCCTCTACCCGTCAGATGCCAGCAGCACACCCCTTGGTGTGGCAATCAATTATGTCTCCAGGGACTTCCCTGGTGGTCCAATGGTTAAGCACCCGCCTTCTAATGCAGGGGACATAGACTTGATACCTGGTAGGGGGACCAAGATTCCACATGCCTCAGAGCAACTAAGCCCTCCTCTGACAACTACTAATGCCCACGTGCTCTGGAGCCCACGTGCCACAGCCAGTCAGTCTGTGCCTGCGAGGAAAGGATCCCGTGTGCCGCTGCATCTAACGCCTGACACAGCCGCATAAATAAGGGAAGCCTTTAAATAATGTCTCCAGATGTTGCCAAGTGTCCCCCGGGTGCAGGATTGTCCTGGCTGAGAATCCCTGCTCTGGGCTTTTGCCGTGGGGCAGGATGCCCCGTCTGAGAGCATGCGCACTGTCACTTTCTCAGAGTACTGCCATGTGGCTCTCCAAGGGGCTGTCCTCCGGCTCCTAGAGCCGAGCATCGCTACTGGGGGGACAACTGTGTGGAGGAGCCTGGGCCCAGGCATAAGGTGGCCAGAGGACAGAAGCCTCACCAAGTTCGGCATAAAAAGCCAGGATTTCTCGGCCCCGAGTCCCTGCGGCCTCTGGGTCATGTGTCCCAGCTATGTGACCAGAGCTGGCCAGGGCCCTCGCCTTGTGCCTGGGTGTCAGGTTCCAGAGGGCGCCTTGAAGGGACAAAGCTTCTAACAACATCCCACCACTCCTCCCCAGCCACTTTCTCACTCTTTCTGAGCACACCCGCCCATGCACGCCCCCGGGTCTTTGTATATACTCATTCCTTTTGCTGACAAAGCATTTATTAAGCATCTCGTAGGTGCCAAGCATGGTGCTCAGCTCTGAGACATGATCAGCTCCCCACCCCAGTCACACCCAAGAGCTTTCAGAAGCCTGTGGGCGCTCAGACAGCTACAATCCCTCCCCTCCAGCAGGGGCAGTCCGAGAAGGAATTCTAGAGAAGGGATGTCCAAGCTGAAACTTCCAGGGTGAGTCCAACTTGCTTCTACACTGCCTGGATAACGGGGACAATTCCAACAATGGTGTCACCCTTGGTTGCCTACTTACCATCTGCTACCCCTCCTTTCTCCACCTGCTGGGGGGGGGGGTCCCTGCTTGCTGAAGGAGAAGCCACGGTCTTCGGTGACTCCTAAAGTCACCCATTACCTGCCCCTGCCCTCTCTTCTCTCCCAACTCATCTTCTGTCACCTCCTCTTCTTTTCAGCCACTCTGATCTTTCAAATGCAGGAAGCATTGCTTCTGCTGAGGCGTCTCTGCACGTACTTTCTCGATACAGCTGTGATACGCCCCTTTCCTCACCTCCATCAGGCGGATGCTCAATTGCCACCTTCTTGTCATTCTCTCCACCATCATAATCTTTCTCGCCAAGCCCCATCCAGGAGCACCACTTCACTTTATGTATTTATCTGGTCTGTTGGTCTCCCTCCGTAGAAGTTAAATTCCAAAAGAGTCAGGATTTGTGGATCACATTCCCTGGTGTATTCCCAGTGTTTGCCACAGAGCCTGGCACAGACTAAGTGCTTAAGAAATGTGTTGAATCAATGGATAAGTTGCATGTCCTTCTCACAAAAGCTCAGTCAGTACCTCTCAAAATGTATCATGCACATGAATCACTTGGAGATCTTGTGAAAACACAGTTTCCGGCCTGGGGTGGGGTCCCAGGGGCTGCGTTTCTACAAGCTCCCAGGTGATGCTGGGCTGCTGGTCCTCTGTCTTGAGCAGTAAGGACTCAGCGATGATGGCTGGCATCTATGTTACACACGAGTAAAACCAGCGCAGAGAGGTTAATCTCATGGCTAAAGGCACCAAGCTTTGGGAGATGGGCTGGATTTGAAGTCTGTCCAACTCCCTAATGTTAATGGATCACCCTATCATATTGCAGACCCCAAGTCTGAAAATGGTCTCTCAGGTGCTTGCAAACTGAAATTTCCCAAACTGTCCGTGTGAGAATGTCATGGGTGCCAACTCGGGACCAGCAAGCACAGTGAGACCTGTTAGGTGGTATAACCCCCAGACTGAACTGGGGTGCGTGTGTGCAGGCTAAAGTCGCTTCAGTTGTGTCAGACCCTGTGTGACCCTATGGACTGTAGCCTGCCAGGCTCCTCTGTCCATGGGATTCTTCAGGCAAGAATACTGGTGTGGGTTGCCATGCAACTCCAGGGGATCTTCCTGACCCAAGGACTGAACCCACATGTCTTGCACCTCCTGCATTGGCAGGCGGGTTCTTTACCAGTACTGCCGCCTGGGAAGCCCCTGAACTGGGATACTTTGCCCTAACTTTCTCGGTGCTCTCTATAAGCTCTCTCTTGTGCTGGGTTTTGGGATCTGTGTGTGTGTGTGTGTGTGTGTGTGTGTGTGTGTGTGTTGGGAATCTTCCAGAGAGCTTTCTCAGCTCATTGATCATGAAGGGAGCTCTCTCCAGGCCTAACCTTGCACTTGGTTAAGTGTGAGCTGGTAAACTTGATAAGCAAATTGGAGGGAAATTTACAGCATCATCTCATTAGAAGGTCAAGGGCCTTAATCTTCTTGCTCTTACCGGGTCCCAGAGCTCCATCAGAAACCCCAGAGAGGAAGGCAAAGGTGGCCTCTAGTGCAGAGCCTTCTAATTCTTTGGTTCCATCTGAACTCATTTCACAGAGAGAGACTTTTCAGTGAGAAGCACTCACGTTGCCTCTCAGCTCTTACCGCTGGCTAATTACCGAGGCCACTATTCCCAAATCTAACTAGCTTCGCTGGAGATCAAAGCACAGTCTCTCCAGCTCAGTCAGATCTATACGTAGCCTGCCTGCTGCCTCCACACCCACCGCAGCTGCCGAGCTCCTGGACCATCACTGCTGGTCCATTTCCTGCAATATCGACTGCCATCCCCCTAAACCTGAGAATGGGATCCTAGTTATGATCTCTCTTGTAAGCAGGCCTGTGGTTAAATGCAGGTGAAGTCTGGAAGACTTGAGAGGTCATAAACTCAGTGCCTAGCAGAGCCAGGCAGGTAACGTCAATAGGAAAGTTGGTTTAGATGGGAGGGTAGTTCGTGGAAAGCTTGGGGTCAAGCTTCTAAAAAGGCAACAGAGGCCACAGCTCCTTCCTGATGGCTGAGAGATGTTGTGAGGGGCAGCTATGTGTGGCCAGATCTAAACTTCCACGTGGACATCTAGTTACGTGAGCTCTCCAGATGACTAATGGTGGCAAGGATGAATTGAGCATGAGTGACACCCAAATTCAACCCACAAGGGCCACTAGTTTGCAATCTTGGCTTGAAACGCTGAGAGTATATAAACTAAGAGAGATCTGTATCGGCCGGGGTCTGAGGAAGAAATGGGGACAGAATTAAAGAGGGCCCTTTGAAGGGAGGTGTCTATTTATAAAGCTGGGCAGGGTAAGAGGAAAAATGTACACGAATACAGGATGGGCTGAACAAGACATAGATGAGGGCACATCCTGATGGCAGATTATGTAGCCTTTAGAGATGATAGGCATGACAAGTTTGCAATAACATAGGAAGTGAATACAGTATAATGAAGTGAAAAGGCATGATTTGAAACTAGAGTGGCACATAGGGGAGCAGCATGTGTGTCCATCACGTGCAAGTAAAGTCACCTATAGTCTCTTGATCAAAAACATTTAAAAAGGAAAGAGACTCTTCTGTTTTGCAAATAAGTTCGCTTGTGTCTTGTTTTTTTCAGATTCCACATATAATCAATAACATGATATTCGTCTTTCTCTGTCTAGGTTATCTCACTCAGCATGTCTTTGTCTGTGTTGTTTCACTTAGTATGTTATTTCACTTCGTGTGCCATCCGTGTTGCTACAAATGACATTATTTCATTCTTTTTTTATAGCTGAGTAGTATTCCATTGTACAAACATACCATATCTTTATCCGTTCATCTGTCGACAGACATTTAGGTTGCGTCCATGTCTTGGCTAGTATAAATAGTGCTGCTGGGGGCTGTTGGGGTGCACGTATCAGAAAAAGACTGACAGACATGGAAAGCAAACATATGGTTACCAAGGGAAAGGGAGGAGGGTGTTAGGAGGTTGAGATTCACACATACACACTGTACAAAACAGATAACCAACAAGGACCTACTGTACCGCACAGGGAACTATACTCAATATTCTCTAGTAACTTGTAAAGAACGTGAAAAAGAGTATACATATATATGTTGTACTAACATGATAATGTAACTCTACTATGCTTCAATAAATACATAGGAAAGAAAAACAATTATTTACACAGTACAGGCAGTTCCTCTAATTTAAGGACAGTTTGCCATGAATTGAGTGTGAAATGGGGGGTGAGATGCTGGGGGGACAGAAGCTCTGGGTCCCAGTACTCCTGAGAGCATCTCCCCCTTCGCTTCATTCTGCGGCAATTCAGGATATGCAATTTCCAGCCAACAAGCCTTTTAATAGCAAACCAGCTACTCCCTGTATAGACAGAATCATTTGGGAGCAAATAGCAGCTTTCATGGGCATTTCTGGTTTCTCTCCGGAGGCATTTTTCTTGATAACCTAACCCTGGTGTACACGATGACTCCACTGTAGAAATGAAAACAAAAGCCAATGTATGTCAAAAAATTAGGAAGCAAATGCACAAAAATACTTCCAGTGGTTGACTATGAAAGAGAAGTGTGGGTGATATTTTTTCCAACCTCTCTGTTTCATTCATTGACAAATGTTTATTGAGCATCTACTGGGTGCCAGATATTATTCTATGCCTTGAAAAAGCAGTGCATAACAAGTTGCAAAAATTCTTGATGGATAGAGACAGACAATAAACACCAGAGTAAGAAAAATATAGAGCAGGTTGGGGCTTGGCACGTACCTGGGAGAACCAAATAGAACTGGACAGTGGGACCAGAAGTGCTAGGTTGGGGGTGGGGGTTTTGAGTTCAAGCAGGCTGATGGGAAGCCTCAGTGAGAAAAGGTGAGCGCTGAACAAAGATGGGGAGGGGAGGAGGGAGTGAGGATATTTGGAGGAAGAAGGTTCCAAGTGGAGGGAACAGCAAGTGCACAAAAACTTCCCGGGGCCAGTGAGGCTCGAGCAGAGAGGAAAAGGGGGCAGTGGTTAGCTGCGCTTTCTGTGTTCTCTCTGAGAGTACAGAGCTTGTATGATGGAAACGTTGGTGGTTTAGACGCTGAGTCACGTCCAGCTTTTGTAACTCCATGGACTGTAGCCCACCAGGTTCTACTGCCGAGGAATTCTCCAGGCAAGAATACTGGAGCCATTTCCTTCTCCAGGTGATCTTCTAGACCCAAGGATCGGACCCACTGCATTGCAGGTGGATTCTTTATTGCTAAGCCACCAGAGAAGTCTCATCATGGGAATAAAAGCCTTTTATTATCATTAAAGGAAGAGCAAAAGAGAAGGAGGGAAGACATCTCTGCTTTTCTGGCCCGTGGAAAGTTGATGGTTTTCTCCTCCTGATCAGTTCTGCATTGACACAGTGGATGACTTCCCATGAGATCTGAGCATCCCTTCAAGTCTGTCCTTCCCTGAGTCACATGGTCAGTGCCGAAGATGTCTGTGGTCTCAGAACTGTGGGTAGCAACCCGCTCCTTCCCTCAACGCCCCCTGCCCCACTCCCCATTGGCAGGAGGAGAAGCAGAGACCAGTGTGAGCAAACCATGTTGACCGCCTCACTCCTTCCAAGGGCAGCTGGGAGTGAT